TATTTTTAACTATTGGCCCGAAAAACCTTTATGACTTCTGTGGCATGCCCCCGAGAAATGTCACGGTTTCGAAACTACACCTTGTATTTATACACAGCATGATATTTTACTAAAGACATAAATATAATATTAATAAATAAATAAAAACGTAAACTACAATTCTTTGCACGTTTAAAATATAAAGATTTTAATAATACGTTTTACTGAAATGTCCATAAATTCAGTACTGAAACGCGTTATACAAAAAATAGATGCAATAAAAACGTGACGCTCGCTGACGTCATAACGAACACAGAAGTGTAATGACGAACATTAATTTTTAAATAAAATATTTCCATTTCATCCAGTAATTCCCAAAGATCACAGGTATATTTATTCTCGGGAAAATTGTGTATAACAAATTGAGTCAACATTTAATATTATTTATTTACTGCTAATACATAATTATTAACGGTTTGAAATAATTCAAAATCTTTGGATGAAGACCGATTGTAAACATTACCTAGTTTTTTTTTATTTAGATTTATTTAGGGTTTTTGGTTAAAATTAACATATCAAACCCATTGTTCCTTATAACTATTAACACATAGTACTTATCCTAGTTGTTTATAAATAATTATGAGGGTCGGTCCTGCGTCTGCGGTACTAGCAAGTAAAACGCTTGTGCTATTTCTGATATTGATATTTCTGGCTCACTTAAAACACTCTGTATGATACCTTTTTTTTATTCTGATGTCGAGGGGAAACCTTCAAAAGGCGCCTAGCTTTTTGGGGAGAAAGACTAGGGAGTGTGGGATTCTTACCTCACTAAAACCACCCCGGTGGCCACCCTCAGCACCTGTAAGGGGCACGTGGTCCTCTGAAGAGACCTGCTCCGGAGCCCCCACGGTGCAACGCCTGATACAGCACATCCCTAGGGAGACGAGCGTGTCCCTTGATCATCGTTTTGCACGGCAGCACGTGACCACTGTGCTACCGTCTTCCCTGAGGCCACTAGATGGGCACCTAGAGTCCCCACTCTGTGCGCCCGTGGCCCCTAAGGTCCGCCTGCATTTCATACAAGCGGGATTGCGGCGTGTCAGGCGTCATGGCGGTTGCGTCTTCAACGCCTTCTACGAGCAGGATCGGCTCTTTCGCGATTCCGCTCAGCAGCCTCCTTTTGGGACATTACAGTCTCACAAAAGGAGGCCACTGCCCTCCAGTTTTCTGTCTCTGCCAACATAGCCTTAATTACTGCTGGCAGAGAAAAGCCTTGCCCGATCTTGGCAACCAGGACCTGCCGCTCAGAAGCCCAAAATTTATCGATTGCAGCGGAAAATGGCCATCCGAATCGCACGAGGGTACCGAACGGTATCTTTTGAGGCGGCGACTCTCCTGGCTCGCTTTCCGCCATTGGACATACTAGCGGATATGGACGCAAAGATCTACGATGAAATCCGTACTGTCCGCCGAAATGGCGGTAGAGTGCTAGGAGTGGCGTCTGTATGATACCTACGTTCATCTTTGCAATGAGAACACGGAGTCTTCAACAATCATCTGTATTTTTTAATGGGATAAGACGAGCTTACAGATCACCTGATGGTAAGCAATCGGCGTCGTCCATAGAGACTTGAAACACTAAGAGGCGTTACAAGTGCGTTACCGGCCTTTTGGAAATCGAGAATTTGAGGATTGTGAGGGATTGGGGAGACTGAGGAGACTAGTTGGGCCTCCGGTAACCTCACTCATACGACGAAATATTACGCAAGCGTTGTTTCCCGTCGGTTTTCTGTGAGGCCGTGGTATCACTCCGGTCGAGCCGGCCCATTCGTGCTGAAGCATTGTTCTCCTACACATAACTTATCTCAGTGTACAACAGGTTCGTTATTAATACATAGCACCGATAAAAATACTGATGAAAAGACTTTTTGCATCTATTTTCATAGATGTAACCGGTCCCAAGTTGTGTAACTTCTAGTAGTAGCCGTCCCAGTTATGAATCAATGTTCAGTCCGTGAGGTAGGTCAGTTATCGGAGCCGTAAAATAAAATGTATGAGAGTATCGGTCTTACGACCTAGCTTTCGGTAGTGACGTCACTCGTATTTTTTTGGTCTCATTATTGTGCAAGTTGTAGAAAAGAGTAAACAGGGTAGTATCTTAAATTTTATTTTAATGCCTGTCTGGTACATTATTTTAAAACATTAGAAACAAACTGTTTCTTTCCTTACAAAATTAAATACTTTTCTACGATATATTGATTTGAAATATCGGGTGACGTCACGATTTACTATCTACATTTTATTTTAATTATTATTTTATTCGTGACGTAACGACCTCCCACTCCTAAACCTAACTCCGTTTTATCTAAGTATTGTTTTCTTATACGACAAATTAATTAAAATATGTGTCGAATATTTTATCATTATCTAATTGATGGATTAATTATCTTTTTAATTTTCATACACTGTCTACTACCCTATTATTGCTGATACTACTTACAGCTGATACAACGACTACCTCGTTGGCCGAGTGGCCGCAAGTGTCGGGTTTGATTCCCGGGTCCGGAAAAGTATTACTGGGTTTTTAAAAATCTGAGTAGTAGCATGGAGGTTGGAAATGTGCCCGGTATATGGCAATAGGCTCACCCCCTATTACATGGGACTCATAACATAAATAGTGAAAAGTAGGTGTTACATTGTACAGTGGCATAATGTGCACCTCTGCCTACCCCTTCGGGGCTAAAAGGTGTGATGTTATGTTATGTTATGTTATGTTATGTTATGTTATGTTATGTTATGTTATGTTATGTTATGTTATGTTATGTTATGTTATGTTATGTTTTCCTTACACAAATCTTTGTTCACTTTTGGTGAGACAAAGGCCAAATGTCGGCCCATCAAATAAAAAACTATCCTAACCAAATTTCACCTATAGCAACAAACACCAAAATTAGTCGTTAGCAACAAATATAAATACATTTTTATTCATAAGCCTTTTACTGAAATTCAACAAATTTTAAATAAACTGACCCGGGAAATTTCTCAGAAAACGAAGATGAAAGCAAACTATAAATACAATCCTTTTAAATAATATCGACGTTTTGTAGCCTTTTGCTAGAATGTATTTTTAGCCGCAAGTATCTATATTAGACTGCTGTAACTTTAATATATTGACAGACGTAATATCTCATCGTAACATCTCAACTTTTGTCCTCGAAGGGTATAACCCATTTTTTCATCGTTATGTTATGAGTCCCATGTCATATGGGGCAAGCCTATAGCAATTTTTATTATTAAAATTTTAATTATTTTTTATATATTAATGCACAACACATAGACAGTACATAGGAGAACACATATATAAATAGATTGGAGCTACATAGGTACTACATATTCCCGTAGGAATCTCTTCCTGCAGTTCCTTGACAGGAAAAACAGTAAAAACTAAGACATTGTGTGTAACAAAGTGTAAATAAATAATGCAAAAATTACCAAAACTTTACGCTTTAAGGCTGTACTTAAAACTATATGCAGAAATTAAAATCAATTAATATTTCACTCATGTGATCATGAGATGATTCCCACAACAAGGCAAAAACTTTGCTATCTTCCTTCTTCTCTTTAGCCTCAATAGGCTATGACAATCCATACAATGTCAATCATCCGAGGAACCGAAAGAAAGTTGTTCCTCTTACTCAGCAGTCATGATTTTGACCATAAGCCAATGAGGCAGTAATTTTTTTTTTAAGTCTCCATTTTAGCTCACCTCTCTTAAACTGTGGTACATTCCACAGCTGCCAGTCAGTCACTAAGCTACTGTAGTATATAAATCTATGTATATAAAAATGAAACCCGTTTCCCGTGGTCACGCCATAACTTGTGAACGGCTAAACCGATTTTGCTTATCTTTTTTTTTATTGTATTTGTTATTATTAGGAGAAGGTTCTTAGGACAGAAAAAAATCCTGAAAATCAGAAGGGAACAGGGGAAAACGGGATTGCACGTACGAATTCGCGTGCAGAAGTTAGTAGTATGATAAAAGCAATATAAAATAACAATGCAGTAAAAAGGTCAGTTGAATTACCGTACAGTGGCGACTGGCGAGGTCAGTTCGTAACAAGCCCATATATAACAGCTGTTTGTTAACTGTTTGTCATTTAAACTAGACTAGTATTGGAATTGAGTTCAGATTTAGTTCTAGTAGAGGTCTAGTTTTGTTGACGATAGGATTATATTATATAGGGAAAATATAAATACCTACAACGTTTCTTGTTTTTAAATGAAATATAAAAGGCAGAATATCACATTCACAATGCTACCCCCTCTTTATTATAAGTGACACATTTTAGTGAGAATTTATTCGCAAAATCGAAAAAAAGTCCAATCATACTTTGCCCAACTCGAAAATTGAGCCCGTGAAATCGGCAGTCGTAGTTACATCCTCTCAACAAACTCGAACGACACAGTTATTACAGATATAACAGATATTAGAGTATCTTCTAACAGATAATATCCACCATTCATTATCATCATCTTCATTATTATCATACCAGTCATAAAACGTCTACTACTGAACATTCATCGGTTTTTCATTTTTTTTAACGTCGCCCCACCCGAATATTTTCTCTTGTGTCATGGGCGCATTTACAAATGTTTAATTTCACATACACATGACACCCTGACCTGAAGCAACAGTCTGTCGATCACATAAAGAGTTGTTCCGTGCCGCATTGCGTGCTTCCAAACAAGCATCGTCGTAGGTCGTCTATCCACTTTGCTTCTTATAGATATTATCTCCTAAATATGGGACGACGTGCTCCATCGTAGGCTGCATCGTAGCTTACCACCAGGCGAGATAGTGGTCAAAAGTCGGCCCATCAAGTATGTATATATAAAAAGGTTAATTTATTATTTTCTTCCCCCAGGTATCTATAGAAGCAGCCCACCTATACGATGCAGTGACACTGTGGGCGAGAGCTGCGACCGCAGTGATGCAGTCCGGGCTGCCGCCAACAGACGGCGCTACCCTTATGCAACTCCTGCGCCCTACCACTTACAGATCTGTACAAGGATTTGATGTGAGTTTCCTTAACTAATTTTAATTCTATTTACATACATTTTAAAGGTATATTTATGGGGTGAAGATATTTTTATGATAAGGCAATACGCACAGATGAATCAGCAATGCCACCCCTGAATACCCCCAACATCAGAGGAGTTACGACGACAGCATATGCATCCCCATCATATAGATTGGCAGGCCACGACTGTGCGCTTTTCACGTTGCTTTCTGCTTCGCACAGCAAAACTGTGGAATGATCTGTCGTCGGCGATATTTCCGAACCGATACGACCTTCAAACCTTCAAGAAAAGAGCGTATTCCTTTTTAAAAGGCCGGTAATGCACCTATGACTCCTCTGGTGTTGCGGGTGTTCATGGGCGGCGCTGATCGTTTACCATCAGGTGATCTGTCTGCTCGTTTGCCTCCTATTCCATAAAAAAAACGAGTGCCTTTGAGCTCCAGGTTTTGGGTCTCCAACGACCACTCACTCACACTTTTCTGTGTCCATTACTCTGCCACTTTTTATCTTCCAGCGTATTATACAGAGCACACCACCAAAAAAAATATAAATGAAAATCATTTCATTAGTTTCGGAGATGCTAACCTTTGGCCCGAAATTCAGAGCATGAATAAAAATTTAACAAAAATGGTTTATCTTAAAATCTTTCATATACTGTGAAACCACGTACAACCTAATCATTATGTAAGTTACGTCTATATGACTACCGTTATTGTCTAATGTATTTTTTTCTTATGAAATCCCTGGATAATATCCTAAAACTTGAGTTTAAGTAGCGAATAAATTCAAGGAATACTTATTTCATAAAAGTTTTACCTTATTTATTTATCCCAGAGGGCAATGGACGGGTTAGCCTCATCTTAAGGGTGTTTACTATATCTATTCGAGTTAGATTTTATTATGTATTGTTTAAATAACAATAATCTAGTTTTAAATAGCTTGTTAGTTAGAGTAAGTCTTTTTTTAAATACAAGGTTGCCCTATACTAGAATTTTCTCCTGTGTCCTGCATTTACAAACATACAAGTTCACATACACATGACACTCAGACCCGAAACAACAGTTGGTGTATCACACAAAGAGTTGCTCCGTGCGGGATTTTTTTTTAAGGGGGGAAAATCATCGAATGACTGCTCCCGCCTGGGTGAGGCGGGAGGGAGTGTCAGACTCTTACTGACTAAAAACCACACGGAAAAAAATACTGAAAAAAACAAAAAAAAAAGGGATGCAATCGAACCCGCGACTCGTTGCACGACAGCCAGTTGCCCAACCACCGCACTAACCATACCGTCCTGTGTGAGTTGGTTATTGTGTTTGAAAATTATTATTATATTGCTACTTTCTTCATATTAGTTCAGTAATTTGATGATTCTACTAAAAGAGTACCTACGTCAAAATTTACAAAATTGCTGATTTTCAAAACTCCCGGAAAACATTCCAGGTGACATCCATAATATTTGTCTTCTTACTTATCGAACTACATGTGTTTTTTCCAGTTTTATTGTATTTGATGTTCGTATTGTATTGTAATACATATTTGGATTTCGATAGCAATTCTGACGTAATATAATTTATTGTTAAACAACTTATATCATAAAAGTAGATTTTCAATACTCACTTTATTCTTTTTTTTCCTTCTTTGGCAACCGAGTCTCCAAAACGGTGTTGTAACTGTATTGACAGTTAACAGTTTTTGTATGGAAGAATTGTCAAATATAAAAAATTATTCCACTAATAAAATTTAACTGGCATTAGAAAATTCGGCCCTTAATCTACAAAATAGTGGTCTGTCTTCTATAACCAGAGAAAACTGTTATAAAAAAGGTTATGAGTTCCATATAATTACTTGATTATCTGAAATTGTTAAATATGTTAGCTACTAACCTATTTTCGAAAAACACGAAAATAAGCCATGTGATGTGATATTATTCCATGAATAAGGCATCACACTTCAAACAGATGATTTCTTACGTGTTATTATGTGAGTGTGTTATAAAAATACACATTCCTTTGGACGAGTTTCTTTTGTCCCTTAATAACCTAATATTATTTAATTTAGGCAAACATACGTTTACTTAAAACCGGTTCATGAAAACTAACTTCATTGTTGGTTGTACTATATTATGTTAAGCCTTTCAAAAACAACTGTATGTCAAAACATTATATTACTTCACCACACCACCGACTGCCCCGTTGGCTGAGTGGTCCGCAAGTGCGAATCGGCAAGGGGTCTTCGGTTCGATTCCCAGGTCGGGTAAAGTATTATTGGGTTTTAAAAATTCTCAGTAGTAGCACGGAGTCTGGAATTGTGCCCGATATATGGCAATAGGCTCACCCCCTATTACATGGGACTCATAACATAAATAGTGAAAAGTTGGTGTTACATTGTACAGTGGTATAATGTGCACCTCTGCCTACCAACTACCTGCCTACTTCACTACAGATTGAAAAACTTTCTCGGGTTAATTTATCTGTGGAATGTATTAGGTTACATTTGAATGAAATTTAAATCTTTAATCTTATGGTAATAGGGCTGAAATTTACATAAACACAATCATTGACACGTGTTGCTATTACACGTGGCCTCAAAACTCAAAATGACAATTAATTTAAAATGTTTTTGTAGGACCTTGTTTCATCAGAGTAGTTTTGAAACCACTGAAGTGATAAAAATAACATAAAGGTATTTTCAAAACGAAACGAAGTAACTTCTAAGAATCATTAACTTCAGTTTTCCACTCAAATAGAGCGCTATGCCAAAAATACTACGGCGTAGCGAACTTGCTACGCAGCTACGAAGAATGCGGCGTACCGCTACGAGATCGTAGCACAGTTCCTACAGTTTGATTTGTTTAATTAATTTGATGAAACTTAGTAAAGTACGTAGTTTAATTAGTGGGATTATTTAAAATTGAATTGCTTTGATAGTTACTTTAGTTGCTTTGTATTGAAATAATCTGTTTCTGATGAATTTGTTTTTGTAATCGCGGTCTGTCTCAAGTTAAATACCTGTCTTATATCTCAATGCTTACATTTAAAAGCTCAAGGTCTTAACCTTGAAACATGTTATGATAATATTTACACGTGCTAACTTATCTTTCTCAGCTTTATTTTCTTAACTACTTACATTGGTTGTTCAGATGGGTAAAGAAGTTAATAACAAATAAGATTATATACATTGTATAATAAAATGTATGTTCATTGGTCATTACATAAGGCAAAACTTAGTCATCATCAATAGCCTATAAATGCCTGCTGAGCAAACCCTCTTCTCACACGGTGAAGGTTTGAGCCTTAATCACCACGCTTGCTCAATACGAGTTGGCGGCTACAAACTTATAATTAAAAATTAGTTTCCTCACGATGTTTTCCTTCACCGTTTGTCAGTGATGTCTAGATAATCTTAGAAAGTATATATACGAGAATAACACTTTTGCTACTTTTCATCAATCGTAAACGCGGTCGAAGCCGCTGGCAGAAGCCAGTGGAACTACATGGGTGGTATATCTATTCAGACAATGTTTTAAATATTTAGCACACTGCTACGAGGTTGAGGAAAAGAACTGCTGCATGAAAACAAAAAGACTATTTAAGTAAAATGAATAAATGTATTTAGTTTTAGCTACGTAAGTAAGTTAATTTAACATTTTGTTAAAAATATAATCTTCACTTCAATGACACAGTTATATATAACAATAATAATTTCATATATTATATCTCAAGTTTTATCCATCTCTGTATTCTCATACGATAAATATATTGTGATATGTGATATGTCCATGACAAACCTTTCCGATAAAATTATTTAACATATAATAATGATAAAGCGAAATACTCGCGGGCGATATATATTATCGTTTCCCTTTCAAAGGTGTATAATGTATGTATAATGTAAATAAAAATGATATATATGCTCATGAATATGAGCGTCTAGCATGGCTTGAAACTAGTCGAGTCCCTCGTCCAATAATTACGTGAGTAAGCTGAAAACATAATAATTTATTTAGTATGTCTCACGAAAGTTACAATACAAAAATGATATTTTCAGAATCTTTTATTGATCAAAGCACTTCACATAGAAAGTAAAATATTCCATTAAATAACAGGTATTGTTTTCCAAAACACAACAACTGTTTATATATTCCAGTTTTTCACATCATTTATTTACTGTTCAGATTCTAAGAAAGATAGTTCATTGAAATTAGGTCAATAGATATCCATTATGAGGTCATGGAATGGTTACTATATCCTTTTCAAAGCCTTTTCGCTTTGAACCAAAAGGCAACATGATGAATTTCCGGACGTCCACTTTGTAAGAGGTTTTATCGACGCTATTAATAACCTGTTCCTGTCACTATCACTGATAATAATGTCGATATTATTAAAACAGTCTATCTCTAGCCTTTAAACACTGTATTGTACTTATTATTATTATATACAGTATTACTGTAAGCTTAAAATGTGATGCAAGCGTGACATTAATATACCTCTATATTTGTGTGTGTTTAATAATGTTAAAATGTAGTAAATATAATGTAACGTAATGTAAATTTTATCAATAAGACTGACAAAATCCATTGGCACTACTGGAATCGGCTTACTGCTGCGTGAGCAGACGTCATGCATTCTTAAATGTTCTACAGTCGGTGGCGCTGTGGACTGGGTCGCTCCGTTCCCTACGAAATGGTTGATCGGATCGATTGCTGGCCCTCACGTCATGCTCGTGAACGGGCGCCTTCTGCTGGAACAGGTCGGCTCGCTCATCGCGCGTGTGGGCCGATCCAGTAAGGTTAATGTAAATGTAATAAATCATGTATTGTGTATATATAGATATTAGATTTAGACACAACCTTCTTTGTGAAAAAAAAAATGTGGTTAATGTAGCACGTAAGATTTTTGTAACAATTAATTTTGACTGTAAATTAAAAGAAAATGTAATGGAATGACAAGGGCACGGACAAGAGTCCGTGGAGAATAAGAAATGTAAGATTTAAAAAA